CAATTTTTGAAAACGTCGACAATTTACAGATTGCGCCCTTGTATAGGCTGTTTTAATTACCGTCCAGCTGACAGAACTCCTCACTGAAGGGTACTCTAATTTCTGTACTAGAGTCGTTTCCTCCGAGACCAATAAACAGAAGGCATTTTACTTTTCTCTCACCATTGCAATTATATTTTTCCGTTAGCACTGGCTACCTGTAACGTTGCATGTATTCACCGTCCGTTGATTAGTCATCAAGCGACTGTTCAACACAGTGGACGAACGTGTCCAAATGGCCAGCTCGGTATCAGCTTGACTGTCAACAGGTTCAGGTTAGCGACATTTAGGCTATACTGCGAGGGACATGTCAGGTCTGATTAAATCGTGTCCATGCTGAAATATAATCGTAGATTTTGTAAGCGGACTTTCTCAATTTATCACCTACTTAATGGGATCGTTTGTCGCAGTCTCAAGGGCTCGCTCTGGGCTGACTTTTGTTGCATACGACGTATTCATTGCTGGCCTTCTGAGTTCCAGATGAGAGACTGCACTCCTAGACAATGTTTTTATACAATTCAAGAACAGCGTAATATGAATATCTCGATTACAGTTAGAACGGCACTGTCATTGACATTGGTATTGAACTCCGATTAGTTTTGAAGCCAGAAATACAGTCTAAGGTCGCAAGTTTAGTGCAATAACGTAGACCAGACGGACCTGTTCGTCGACTGTTGTCGGAAATGTTACCACCTACTAAGACGACCGTACTCTCTTGTGCGACTTACACGTGATGAGAGGACTAACATTAATCCCAACAGTTTAGCTCACCTTAATGCACTAATTTGTTGTTTGGCACCGAGCTACCGTGGATGGGTGCAAAACTGCACCTCTGAGTGCTAGTGATCGCTGAAAAAATCGAATCCGCCTAGCAGTGAAAAGAAAGCTACCTGTATCCTCTCGATTCGAAGATGGAAATTTCTAGTCACCCCTTCTGGCAGACCAGTTTAAGTCTTTAGGATTGCCGTGGAGAGTGGCGGTAATCTCTGCTGCCCCTGCACTGAAGCAGTCTTCAATTAGTACCAGCAATGCAACCATTGACTCATTTTATGCTTCTTGCACCAGCAGTTATATCCTCAGAGCAATCGTTCTACTACTTGCCATGGCAAAGGCTGAGTGCTAGCATTTAAAGCGGCTTCTAGACGGAAGTTAGATGTCCTGCAAGCAGCAGGCAGGCAGTGACGTTTGCCACCGGTTACACTGTTTTGTACAGTCAGTGGCTGGGCGCGCAAATCGCACTGAATATTTAACCACTTTTCTCTAGGTATGGTTGCGTCAACACAACGGTCTGCATACCCAACGGTCTGCCCGTCGCTCTGTCCCAC